GGAGGGAGAATAGAGTTGCTTGTGTTTGTTTTGAAGATCTTGACTTTTGGGGGGCTGTTTCCTTTTACCTAAAGCAGATTTTACTGCTGCACTGAGCTGCTGTTCGTTTGAAACTTCTAGTGCATCAGGCCCGCAGATGAGATCTGCTGTCGGACCCCGGAGCTGCTGCTGTCGGTGTCCCCAGAGGGAAGCTAACTGAGCTCGAAAGATTTTCTTGATCCTGATGGAAGCTTGCTTTCTGGCTGGGAAGAAATCTCTGCTGGGACAAGTCACTGACCTATTTTAGAGAGTCTTGTCTGTACAGCGCGGTTGCTGTTTCCTTAGAGCAAGAAGCCATCTTGCAGGAGCTCTTTCTTCCTTTTATTTTAGTTCTTCCCCAGGATCGGAAGGAGAGGGGGCTGAAGCTCTGTATTTTGTAGTTATGTGTAAGGAATGGCAGAGGAAAATCATCTGATGACAAAAGGAAAACTATTAAGTAATGTAAAAACTTCCAGCTGCTATAGTAACAGCAACACATTTGCCAGATGTCAACAAGCGTATTTTAATCCTCCTATTTTGAGTTTCAAGCTATTGAAGAGAAGAACATCTAGGTGTGGCAGTCTTCAGCCCACAGCGACTTGGGTAGCCTGGGAAAGAACCGTGTCGTATCACCGTTGGAGGGACTGTCGATTAAATTTATAGAGAAAGCTTTTCCCAGATGTTCTTACGGAGGCAGGAGCCCATCCTGAAGATTTGTGTTTCTCTCCGAGACACTTTTATGATGTCCTGTTGGGTATACGGCGCGTGCTCTCCTGTGCGTTAGATTGATTTGAGGTGCTGTGACATTTTTCTTGGAAGGCGCAAGAGCCAAAAAAAAAAAAAGTAGGATGAAAAAGTTGTTGGAGCCTGGGCTTTGTGCCTAATACCAATTCCGTGTGGCTGTGCTGGTCCGTACGGCCGGGATGCTTACTGGGAGCAAGTAAGATGTCCCAGAACCCTGCCATCCCCTGTTGACACCAGCTGTAAATGAGTTTAAGCCGAAGTGATAGATGTAGGGTGGAAGAGACTGTTTTTCTAGTTAAACGTTTTAAACTGTCAGAGGAGGTGACAAATGTGTTGTACTCTTTCCTGTGGCCTTTTCCACCAAAGAGTCTGTCATGCAAGAAAAGGAGGGAAAATGTGCCCGGCGTGCATCAAGCCCTTAGCTTTTCCCTGTTCGTTTGTTTTTATTGTAAGGTAAACCTTTCATGTTTTATTGTTATGAAGTTAAAGCCTGGCCTAGAGGTGCTGATCTTTAGTAGAAACAGCTGCGGCCTGAGTGTCCCCTGGTCAGGTGGGAGGCTCTTTGAAGCCACATGTTGCCTCTTTAAAAGGAAATTGAGCATGTGAGAACTTCAACCTGTAAAACTCATCAACAGCTCTGCCATTGTTTTATCTCTGGTGTAACTTTACAGAGAATTAAAGCGAAACGTGTTACTTTGCTCCCAAGGCAAGATGGTTTCGCTCCCCCTTGGTCCCAGAGACGCAGGAAATGACCGCTTAACCGCAAATACTTTCTAGTGGAATGAAGATGAGTGACAGACTATCCACAGGAATAGGTTCATAACCAGATGGACTGAAAAATTAGATGTAGTTATGCTTCTGGTTTTAAGGTAAAACCGACGCTTAAACCTTAGAACCAAGGAGAAAAGAGAAACTGCTGTGTGTGCGCCGGCTGACGTGAGAGGGCAGATCTGAGCATTTCTGGTTGATCAGTCACAGTATTCAGTGTAGACTGTGGTCTCTTCCTCAGTAGGAAAAGGAATAAACCAAACTGGCTTTGGGCTGAGAGAAGCTCTGGCTTTGTTTCTCAAGTTGCCTTCTTGTACAGAAGATAAAAACATTAGCTGTCAGATCTCTGTACTTCTCTGTAGCATTTTCATTACTAAAAGCAAGGCCCTAGATATCTGCCATCCTCTTTTTAAACTGAATCAGCCACCGTACTCCCCCCTTCCTGCTGGAGCGGGGCACAGTGATAGCCCATGAGATGGCAGGGAAGTTGCATTTTCATGAAAAAGAAGAATCCCTTCTGCTTCGCCGCTTCGAAGAAAAGCTTTCTGCAGGAAAGGCAGAATGGTCTTGCTCAAGTCCGTCATTCTGGGCTGCATCTGATTAACAGTGGTGTGAGGTATTAGCATGGGGGAAGACTTAGGTTTTGTTTTAGGCTTAGGCTGAATCGCTGTTGGCAGAAATAATCAATTTTTCACCTGAAAGTGTATCCTGTGGCTTCCCCCAGGAAGCAGCGTTGTTGGCATCTGTGTGGAGCCCTTACAGATGGGGCTGTAATGTGAGAGAGCATCTGAAGGAGGTGAAGAGAACACAAGATAATGATGATTTTTGGAAGAAGGTGGAAAGAAACGGTGTTAACGATAGCTGCTTCCTTAGTGCAGACTTTTTGTAAGACAAGACAGAAAGCAGTTTGCTGCCACTCTGGTAAGAAGAATGTGGATTTGACTAGTAATGTGGAAAATGTGGTGACATTAGAAACTGCCCGGGCTCTGCATGGAGATGATGCGGAATTTGTCATCGTGTAAATAATTTCTCATTGATTAGCTAAACTGTTTGGATTGGCAGACGGGATCTTCTCGTGGACGGGAAGCGTGGGCCCAGTATCGCTCGCTGCGGGACAGGCTCTGAACCGGACGCTTCAAATGCCGCCGAGGGCTGCCTGAACAGAAGGGAATTACCTCCCACAGGTCCTTGTGGAACCTACAGTGCAACGGCCCCAAACGAAGAGACAACGTAGCTACGGATTGTAGAAAAGCCTGGCAGAGGAAGTCGGGTCAGAGGGCCAAACCGTTGTCCGCTGGATGAATTCTTGAAGATAGTAATTATCCTTAATAGCACAAACATTTGGCGAGAGCCAGCCCCAGCTGTGATCTAGCAAAGGTACCGAGGGCAGGCCCTGCTCGGGGAGGGGCAGTGGAGGGATTAGCATGGCTGGACGGCCGCTCGTAGTAACGCCCCATCTCCCTTCCAGTCCCTGGGTAGATACCTATCAGTGTCGTGGTACGAGTAGTTCACACGAGATGCTCCAAGCAGCATTATAGAATCATAGAATCCTAGAATGGCCGAGGCTGGAAGGGACCTTAGAGACCATCTAGTCCAACCTCCCTGTTGTGGGCAGGGACGCCACCTCTCGAGTAGACCAGGCAACACATGGGGACCGAGCGGGAATCGAAGCCGCAACCTCGGTGTTGTCGTTGTTGTCAGCACCGTGCTCAAACCACTGAGCTAACCGGCCCCCTCACTTACTGTCTGAAATGGAGAAAAGAGCCCGAAGCTCTGACCAGGCATCTCGGCACGGGAGGCTTTCCCGTAGCTGTGCAAATGCTTAGGCTGAAAACCCGACCTGTGCAAAGTGCTCGGGTTCTAAAATGTCTGGGGGAGTTATGTCAGGACTGCTTGGCGGGCGGTCAGAGTTCTTCCCTGCAGTCGCATGTTTTGTGAGCTTACTCCAACGTTGTAATGACCTGGTAAAGCAGTTACCTCTGTC